TACCTTTATCTGTATATGATAATTTTAGTAAAGTACCTTTATCTATATATGATAATTTTAGTAAAGTACCTTTATCTATATATGATAATTTTAGTAAAGTACCTTTATCTATATATGATAATTTTAGTAAAGTACCTTTATCTCTATCCTGTTATTGTTAATTACAATATCTTTAGCTCTAGACTATTGTCGTTAGTAAAGTAAATTTAGCTCTATACTATTGCCGTTACCAAAGTAAATTTAGCTCTATACTATTGCCGTTACCAAAGTAAATTTAGCTCTATACTATTGCCGTTACCAAAGTAAATTTAGCTCTATACTATTGCCGTTACCAAAGTAAATTTAGCTCTATACTATTGCCGTTACCAAAGTAAATTTAGCTCTAGACTATTGCCGTTACCAAAGTAAATTTAGCTGTATACTATTGCCGTTACCATTTAAATGGGAATTCATTGAATACTGTGGTTGAGAAAAAATATACTGTTGTTGTGATCGAAAAATCACTTAAGTCATCTAAGCAGTATATTGTAGCTAGCAACAGAGCTAATAGGATTTTGGGTAGTAACTATAGAAATACTGAATGAAAGCAAGGGATGTTATTGTTTCACCGTATAGATCACTTGTAAGGTCTCATTTAGAGTACTGTGTACAGTTTTTGGCTCCCTTCCTTAAGAAGGACATTGAATTGTTGGAGAAGGTTCAGAGAAGAACCACTAGGATAATACCCGGGATGGTGGGATTGTCCTATAAGGAGAGATTAATATCTCTAAACTAGGTTTCTCTGAAGAGGAGAAGGATCAGAGGAGATTTGATTGAGGTGTTTAAGGTTACCAAGGGCATTGATAATATACTATTGTCGTTAGAAAAGTATCTTTAGCTTTAGACTATTGTCGTTATTAACGTACCTTTAGCTCTAGACTATTGACATTATGTTAACGTATCTTTACCTCTAGACTACTGACATTATATTAACGTACCTTTAGCTCTAGACTACTGACATTATATTAACGTACCTTTAGCTCTAGACTATTGTCGTTATTAACGTACCTTAGCTTTAGCTCTGGACTACTGACATTATATTAACGTATCTTTAGCTCTAGACTACTGACACTATATTAACGTATCTTTAGCTCTAGACTACTGACACTATATTAACGTATCTTTAGCTCTAAGCTACTGACACTATATTAACGTACCTTAGCTCTAGCTCTGGACTATTGACATTATATTAACGTATCTTTAGCTCTAGACTACTGACATTATATTAACGTATCTTTAGCTCTAGACTACTGACATTATATTAACGTATCTTTAGCTCTAGACTACTAACACTATATTAACGTATCTTTAGCTCTAGACTATTGCTTTTGTTAACGTATCTTTAGCTCTTGACTATTGCCTTTATTAACATACCTTTAGCTCTAGACTACAGTCGTTAAAAAAGTATCCTTAGCTCTAGACTAATGTCGTTATTAACGTATATTTAGCTCTAAACCACTGCCGTTATTAAAGTACCGTTAGCTCTAGCCTATTGTCATTAGAAATGTATATTTAGCTCTAGGCTGTTGCCATTATTGACGTCCCTTTAGGTCCATACAACTGCCGTTATTAACGTATCTTTCGCTCCATACTATTGACATTATTAACGTCCCTTCAGATCCATACCACTGCCGTTATTGACGTACCTCTAGCTCTAGACTATTGTCATTAGTAAAGTATGTTTAGCTCTTGACTATTGTCATTAGTAAAGTATGTTTATCTCTAGACTATTGTCATTAGTAAAGTATGTTTATCTCTAGACTATAGTCATTAGTAAAGTATGTTTATCTCTAGACTATAGTCATTAGTAAAGTATGTTTATCTCTAGACTATTGTCATTAGTAAAGTATGTTTAGCTCTAGACTATTGTCGTTAGTAAAGTATGTTTATCTCTAGACTATTGTCATTAGTAAAGTATGTTTATCTCTAGACTATTGTCATTAGTAAAGTATGTTTATCTCTAGACTATTGTCATTAGTAAAGTATGTTTATCTCTAAACTATTGTCATTAGTAAAGCCTGAAACCGAAGTTAATTATGCCTTATAAGCATGCTATATGTATATATAGCATGCTTATAAGTCACACACACACACACACACATACATACATATATATATATATATATGTTAGTTTACCTTGAGCTATTATCTTTAAGCATCTTTATCTCTAGGCTCATGACAGTAAAAATAATGTGGATCAAAAAGTTGAGCAAGTCACGCTATAAAAAATAAACAAACTTTAGCACTTTCGACAGGGAGATCTGTCTTCTTCAGTAGTAGAGAGAGGGCAGGTTCACCAGTCAAAAACGCTAAGGTTCCATCAGTTTATTTTTAAAATGACTTAGTTCTAGGAAAAGTATCTTTAGCTCTGAACAAATCTGTAATAAACTCTTTTCAGATATTATTATTTTTAATAAAATACCTTTATAAAACATTAGGAGTTAATTTTGTTTTACTTCATAAAAGGCTATCTTATACAAAATTACTGCTATTTCCTCCAAACAAATCCTCAATAATCACACACTACCTCTAGTAAGATATTTTAGTATACTTTCTCCTTACCTCTAAAAAGTTATCATTTGTGAACCTATGGATCAGAGCAGTTTTCCCACAACGACTGTCTCCTACTAACACGACCTTACAGTTGAACTCTTCCATCCTTTCTTCCCAATGGCTTATCACAGAAACTGTAAGGTGTACGGACGGATCAGACCAACAACAAAACAAACCTGTTAAAAAATGCTTATTAGAATTTCCACTCTCTAATATCTCTAACAGAACTTTAAAAATGTCGTTTTTAAGGCAGTTGCCACAAGTCTCAAGGAGTTATCTCTGACATACTTCAACAATATTTCTAAAAATGTTTTAAATGTGTTATGTATAACAGAGTTTATGTTACTGTAAAAGTAGCAGTTTCTGTTATTTTATTTTAAAATGATGTTTCGAAGAGATTTAAAATTAACCTAAAGGTGTATTAGTAGACTTTGACATTAAACCATGCCACCTAAATATTAAGGTGTTAAATATTATGTCATGGATGTAAAAAAACAAAGAGTGAACTAGGTTTCAAGTAATAATTTTAAGCTTTTCTTAACTTAAATGGTGATCAGCTCATAGTCTGGTGATAGACTCTAAATAATACCTGTAACATTTTATTCTAGCTCGACATACGTTTTCTATATAACACATAAGAGACAAAACTGGTAATCATATATCCACTCCCACAATACTAATTAACCGGATAACAAACCAAATGGAACTGAATAGCCTAATCATAAGACTGCTTCATTAATGAAAATCAACTGGTGAAATCAGTAGAGATGCATACTTAAACGTTACAGCCCCAAAATATACGTAAAAAAGCTGACATTTATCGTTAAAGACTTGTACATTAATAATTTTGACGTAATATATATGCGATTGTTTAAAAAATATACAGTCTGTGACGGATTTACTATTATATATTTATTGTAATATCGATGTTTCTTTAAATTATATTTATATTTAGAAATGTACATAACTTATACTGTTAAATCTGTATTGCGAAATTCCCGCCTATTCTCTAAAGTTGTAGAAGAACCTCGAGAGTAAGATTCAACAATACATGTGCGTATATAAACACTAGTGTATCCTCAGAATTGTTACGTAAGCTGAAATTTCGAGAAACTCTCCACACGCCTATAAATATAACCAACGGGACGCGCCAAACACAGTATATATTATTGGGTTGCTGTAATTGGTGTGCTATAAACTTCGTAAGCTATAACTGTGATTAACGCTTATTAATCGGGAACTGCAGATATATTGACTAGGAACGTTTATAAATTTCGAACATTACAAATCATTCAACTTCAGTGGATTCACATCGGACATATGTACTTTTACGAAAACATTACCCAACGTCACCAGTAGGAAAAATCGGCGTGTGATCAGTAAATTTCCCATAGCTAGCTCCCTATTAACTGAATTGTACCTACATCAACTCGAAATTAACTCGCTCATCGTGAACTCTCGATAAGACATCAAAGAAGTTCCAGACTAGAAAGAAGACTTTATATTGCTTGTTCGTTTGTAACACTTTTGTATATAAATCATTTTTTGTAATAACTATTTGTAATGACTGTTATTGTAAATTATATTATTGTTGATGTATTAAAATATATTTGTATTAAAAAAAGAAAACTGTGTATCAATCTTGTTGGCAAATATAATAAATTGGAGATATATCGGCATTTATTTAACTACTAAATTTAAATTATCATTTAGCTCGGTTTCAGACCATTCTAAATTGTAATACGTAACAATCTTTAAAAATATACAGCAGTTGAGTAAGTTATATTGAAACAATTTTTCAGTTTCACGACGATGTTCGTGTCCATACCACGATGTCTGATAATGCTCAGTCTGATGCAACGTATTTTCCATTGCATCTTGACAAGTAAGGTTGTCGTTTCCAAAATACACCCCACCTCCCTGCACGCTTTCCCTAATCTATCCAGTGATAGAGGTCGACATTTCCATAGTCTAATAGCAAAAAAAAAAAACAATAAATACATAGGCGCTGCAACCCACAAGTTGGCAAGTGTGGCATCATATGGAATAGTAGGAATACTCATTTTCATCCCCAGCTGCTTGGGGTATGCGACAGTTGAACGATATGTTGTGGAAGCAGCTTGCGTACACGTGACTCGTCTCGCTTTTCCAGACGGCTATCCTTTTTGATTATGATGTGCACTGTTGCCTTGGGCACATAGAAGGCTTTTGCCACCGAGATTTGTATTCGTGGATTCTCACATGTTACAGGTCTCTTTATAGAAGGTACTGGTATCACAGTTGATCTGTATTCCTTTGCTTTCCGATGCCATTAAATACAAAGATATCACTGTCTTGGAAATTATAAATCCCCGATCTGAATTCATCTTTATGACCCGAGAGTATGAATATTTTTGCCTCGGGAAGGGTTGTTAGATGTCAAAATGTAATTCTGAAACATGTTGTTCCAACGTGGCTTTATATCGATTGCGGTTGTCACGTAACTTGTTCATTTGCGTATTTAAAACCATTTTAATGTAACGTACTTAACACTGTGTATTAGAGCACCAGTGTCTTAAGCTTAGTAAACTCATCTTTTTTACGTATAAAGTTGGAGTCAACAAACGATTAAAGAATTGTTCATAATCAAACCTAATGTTAAGTTAGTAACTATATACTTTTACCATACGTGCATATATTTTAGCAACGAAACTATCACATTTGTCTTCCTTTTTATTAGTATCTGTATATATATATATATATATATATATATATATACTATTACTAATACTGTCTACGTGTAGTAGGAAGGACGGACGACAAACAAACTAACGTTACGTAACGTAACGTTAACGTTAATTACTTAGTTAGTTTTGGTCGTTCGTT